AAGCGGGTAGTATTAGACAGAAGTACGTACTTACTTGTAATAAGTGCGTGTAAAAGCAGTAAGAAAGGAAAATACTTGCAAAAGCGCAACTAAAAGGCTGTGAAGGACGGGATGCAGGAAGCACGATGTGTCGCATGCGCAGTCTCAGAGTCGAATCCCGTTCAGCATTGTATATCAAAAGCAGTGGATAATAAAAGATAAAAGCTCCAAACAGCTCGGAAACCAGTAGCAGAGAGAAGACTGAGAGCGGCCAGGATTATATGAAAAACTGTAATAGCTTTTCCGCTCTGTAAGCTAGCGCTATGTCTATAGGTGGTGCACATTGGCAACTAAGTAGTCATGTGTACGAACGAGTTGTCGGTACGTAAGTTATGTTCAAACGTGAACATGGTTCTATTCCGTGCTATGTCCACAACTGTGCGGTTCATCACAGTCTTCTCTCTGCTTTACATACACAGTATGTACATACGTTGTGCTTTGATCAATTCATAATACTCAACCTGAAGAGATAAAATAAATACACACCTATTTCTTTGAAAAATTGTGCCTTTTATTTTTAATTCTAGTTAAGTCTTTGCTGTTTATTTTTTTCAATGTTGTAAATATTATAAATACTTAATTAGTGTCAACATTCACAACATGTACAGTAGTTTTTCAATGGGATGATTTAGCTTCCTTTGCGTTTTGTAGACTTTGAGTGATGTACAATTTTGCTAAACTTTGAGAACAGAATTGGGAAATGTGTTCGCTGTATGTATTAATTTGTCCAGCAACAATCATTGGATTTAATCTTGGCGGAACTGGCAAAGGTCTCATCAATTTGTTAATATCGTCATCGGGTAGTGGTGGTTCATCTTTCGCGGCTCTAGCAGCATTCTCTTGAGCTCTTTTGGCCAGCAGCCTGTTTTTGTCTTGCTGCTGTCGAACTACCAATTGCTGATATCTGTTGAATTTCATGGCCTCTTGATTCAGCTCGTCCACCCGATCCATCAGGCATCGTAACTGATTCTCTAATACACTAGCAGTTCCTAGATCCAAATACTTGGTACCTTGCTCTTCAGGAATCATTTCGTCTAGTTCGGACATCATAATATTTGTCAAGTTACTATTCTTTATCACTACTGGAATTTCCACAAAGAGGCTCTCATATCCTATTTTTAATGTGCGCAAAGCTTCCGGAGTAAATTCATTTTCCTTGTACATTTGTATGGCTTGCGAAGTGAGACGATAGGCTTTGAGTGTCAAGAAACCTCTGGCTGATTTTGCTGTGTCGTAAATTAGAACAACCGATTCTTCTATAGAAGTTTGATAATGATACTGTGATTCCAGGAGAGACAGATTCAAGAAGTTGCCGACATCCGCACTTTGGTACCAACCAACATGAAAATGATCGACATTCACCCTACACAGAATGAGAAATAAATCATTGTTTTTGCTTTATGTTAAAAAATAATAATTTACAATTTTGTAACATCTCATTACATTAAAACGTCAAACAACTTTGGCAAGCTTTTTAGAGTGAGTGTTATTTCACTTCACATACAAGTACTAACCATCTCAGTCTTCGCATCATAGCAAGTTGATATTCTTCCTCATCCATAATTTCATCGTTCTTAGGAAAAGGAAAGCAGTTTGTAATCTCAAGACGATTGTGTACAACCAAGCCGAGAAGAGCACCTTGTGCGATTTCCATGTTACTCGAGGACTCTTCGTGACAGTGTTTTACCATTTTCATCACCACCAGGCCGTCGCATTGCACATAATCTATTCGCGGTTCCGCTTCGGGAATTCTTCTCGACGTTGCTCTCGACACCATCTTCGCTTGGATTTAATTTCTTTTTCGATTTTTGATTCGCAATCTGTTTAGCTCTCTTATTTGGCACTTTGACAAGCGGCAATATCAGACAATGTATACGCACATTAACCTTCTTTGCAATTATGGCACCGTGACCCTGGAAGGTTCAGGCAATGGACAGACACACATTAACCTCACTTTGGAAATATGACTATTTAATTTAATGAATTGCTAGTCGATATTTTTATGCTGTAATAAAGATTAACAGCGCCTTGGTCGACTAAGTGGCAGAAAAATAAAACACAAAATTGAGCATGCTCGTTTCCACCATCTTTGATCAACTCAATCGATCGATTCTGTTGGAGCCGATCAATCGTATCGCGATTGAATAGCAATCGATCGATCAAGTTGATCGAAGATGGTGAAAAGCACGAGCAACAGTAGGGCTGCGTTCGAGAACAGCGCTCGTGTGTCACACACGAACGTCATTCTATCTTTATCACTAATTAGATATAAAAACATAGATAGAATGACGCTCGTGTGAGCATACGAGTGATGTTCTCGAACGCAGCCTAGAAGATGAAGAAAGAAAGAGACATTTCTTGAGAAAAACCACGACCCCGCGAAACGACGCGCGCGCGAAACAAAAAATATTAAAAAACATCAAATTTACACGATGAAATATGTTGTTAATTTGTCACAAAAAAGACCTGAATGTGTCTGTTTATTTTTAAAAAAATGAACAATTTGATAGTTTTTCACTGGTTCTTATAAACCCGACGGGATGCAATAATATATCGGCCGAAGCCGTTGACCTGGTTCGCGGATTGAAAAAATTTCGCTCGCTTTGCGCAGCTCGACTTTGAAAAGTTCGCGTATTGAAAGAAAAATCAGTCAATATCACAGTTTACACCTACATGGTTCGACTGTTTCTATAGATCAGAACGTAACAATATTACTTAGAACAATTACAAGCTCTTGTTTCATGTGTTTAATTGGTAGAGAATTAACAGTCAATAGAGAAGCTAAACGTATGTACGAAATATTGTATATTTTTAGAAACATGTGAAAGTTAATACACACGTGGAAATTCAAATTTAATTCAATTAAATTTTTTTAAATTTTATTATCAAATGTGAAAAATCATTGCGAGAAAGACACCTTGGCCAGCAGTCTTGAACCCGATATAATGTTATTTAGATCCTATAAATAGATAAATAACGCGCATAGTACTCGCTATAGTTTATTTCTATTTCCAGAAAAGAGATTTACATAGACGCGAAGCTTTATATAGCAATTTTTTCTCTCTCTCTCTCTCTCTCTCTCTGTACTCGGCTATGTGAATGAAAATAAAATTACGAATCGATTTCTCTCTAATCACAGTGCTCCATCTCTTGAGAAGAATCGTCGTCTATTTGCATGCAAGCTCTAGATTATATTAATGTTGTGACTTGCGATCAATAATTCTATATCGCATCGCAGCTTATCGCTGTCGTCAAAATTATTTAAATTTTCTTTAAAAATCAAATACAGCGTATATATATTGTATATACATGTATACATATGTATATAACAATAGTTTACAACATTTTGTTGCAGAATATGACGTTATTTATTCGGATACATTTTTAATACGTAAAATCCCAGTAAAAAAAGGAGTGAGTATTCTAATTAAAACGCCTACGTATAATTTCTGTGAAAGAATTTATTCTATTTCTGTAGTACGAGAAAGCGATTTGTCAAGTGGTTGAAAAGAAATTGCGAAGAGAAAAAGAAAGAGAGAGAGAGAGAGAGAGTATACATATGTTACAATGTACACCCGCCGAGGACACAAAAAAAAATCAGTTCAAAACTAGAGATTTATTCCGAATCTTAAAAACTGTAGATAAAACATATATATATATATTAAAGGTATGATATAATTAGTGTCTTTCTCCTTCTCTCAATTTGTTCGAATATTTTTGAGACGCCACCTGTTCTTCGTCCTGCTGTCTCATTGTAGCGAGAAGCAAATGAATCGATCGCCGATTAAAATTACCAACACCGGTGATAAAAGTATTGAACTGATGTCATTAATAAAAACACGATTATTATTGCCAGAATGACGGAGGTGTTTTGAAAAAAAAAAAAACAAACAAACAAAGAAGAAGAAGTCGCTTTTATATCGAACGTCCGCGCGCATCGATGACGTAGATCTGCCGCTTATTCTTTGATGTCGTCGTCGTCGTCGTCGCCGTCGTCGTTACCGGATTTTAATTCGAGGGCGGGGCGAGGGTGTCGAGAGAACGACGCAGAGCGTCGGCTCCGAGCGCGTCAAAACGCCGCCGGAAAACGTAACGTGTTTTATCGATTTACGTCGGCGGCCATATTCGCGTTTACCAGTACTGATCAGGCGCACTCGGCTCGTCCCGTCGTTTTCGTCAACGAGAGACCATCGTGGTTGTACGGCAGGATAGATTTCTGTTCCTCAGCTATCTATCCGCCATCGTCGTCGCGAACAACGCAGCGCCATGCGCTTGTAAAACAAATATAAACGTGTAGTAATTCAAAAATTCGCTCCGCATATTACATCTCGAATCCGTACAGTTGGTCACGATACGCGCGGGGGGTCCACAAGTAGTTACAATCGGAGTTGAGGCCGCCGCAGAGTAACGCCCAGGGGAGAAAGCAGCAGTTTGAGAAGAGAGGAGAGAAAGAGAGATAGATAGAGAGAGAGAAAGACAGAGTGTGAGAAAAAGGAGCTCCTGATATCGTGAGTATCAATCTGGATGAAAGAGAACGTACATTATACCGGAATGAAAATCTCGTAAAAAATATAAAATTAAGAAAAACCGTTAACCACCGTTCGTGAAGACGCGACTAAACATGTATCTCTCCCGATCGACTTCGGCAGCATGCAAATGAGCCCCTTCGATGATTATCATCTCGGTCTCTATCTACGTTTTATTTTCTATGAATCGAGATGTGTGCTAAAAATGCTAGAGACTTTCAAACACAAATTTAATAAACGCGAAATATATGTTTAAAGTGAAATAAATATGTTTTGTTTTTTCTCAATATAGTAGTTAATTAATTTATTAGTTAATTTGCATACGTGTATGTGTATGATGCCTCCCACTTTTTTTTCTCTCGCTATCATCTTTTTACAAATTCATTTTCTTATCTTTTAAGTGCGATTTTTCGAGTGCATGTGTACTGTTTTTATTATTTATGTATACTTATACATATATATATATATATATATATATATATATATTTCTTAAAAGGATTGAGAAAGTTAAGTTAATATACTTTAATTTTTCAAAATAAATTCTTTATAGAATTGATTATTTATAAAATTTGCAACAGTGATGCGATTGCGTATATATGTGTAGATGTGCATGTGTATAACACTGTAATTATATTAAATATTACATCAAATTTTCAAGAAATTTGCACAATAGAAAACTTGTACGTTTGTAGAATGTAACACGTGCTACTTTCTGTGACCACTTCTGTGATAGTTATTTCTTTAATAGGCTAAGGTAACAGTCTAGAAGAAGCGCATTGTTGCGTATTACATGTATTACTTTAGCGAAGGCGAACGTTTGTTTTTCCCTCTCTCGCGTAACTAGCGTTTTTTTTTTTTTTTTTTTTACGTATATTACAGCTAATCGTGGAGTGTCCATTCATAAAAGATACGTTGAACGCTCTAAGAGAGAACAGTCGTGATAAAATTGTCCTTGAAGAGAATGTAAACCACTCGGTAGTCGAATGACCCTCAGTTCAAACGTATTCTATTCTTATTATGTTTCGGTTTTGAGCGTTACATTTGAAAATGTTTCTGCGTTATCAAATGTTTCTATCTTACGTTATAGTAATTTTTGCAGTTCTATGAATATATAATTAAAAGTTGTATCATATTTTGTACAATGTGTACAAAATATACATACGTATATACGTACTCAAATGTAGATATTAGAATATTAAAAACAAAAATTTTTCAAAAAGGGATATTATTAAACAAATGAATGAAAGGAATATTATTCTTAAGTGAGTGTTAATCAAGATTGTGTGCGCTGAGATGTGGTTTTATATATAAGATAAAGTATATATTGATCTTTTGCGGAGAATATTTACTTCACAAGAGTGAGACGGACGTACTCCCAATTGTGATACAAGAGAGATAATTGCATGATAAATAATTCTTTCTTACTTCTTTCTTACAGTTATTTTCACTTTGCACGTAAGCTTATTTGAATTTTTATTTTCGGCTTTTTGAGAGAAACATTTCTGAAGTGAAGTTTAACTTGTGCTTCAACTTGTTCTTTATAAAAGTTACTCGCTTTTATCATGACAAAAACATTGATATAGATATATATTTTGTGAACAAACTCGCGACTGAGATAAGTAAGTCTGGTATATGTGTTTGTATGTGTGTGTACATGTGTGTGCATCTATGAAAGTTATCCGTATTGATCTCTTGCACATTCACTTCCTTTGTACGCGTATTCAAGTGTGCGTACAAAATAAAAAAGTACGCACCGCTATACACAAAAACCGTACGTCTCTCTCGCTTTCTCTTTCCATCTCTGTTTCTATATATGTATTATTTAAAAAAAAATTGACATTCTTTTTAAGTTCGAACAACAGATGAATCATTTTATATACACTTTTAAATGATTGATACATAAGTAACCTTTTATCAGATAATTTGATTTTGTTTTTTTTTCATTTAAACGGAATTGTGTATTTATGTGTGGGTGTGCTTTAGTTATATATAAATAAAATCCTGTCATTAATTCTGATCGAGAAGCCAGGAGAAAGAACAAATGTATATTTTATTTCGCGAGATATTTTCTATCTTACCCGACACGATCTAATTTCCTCTTCGATCTCGCGACAATTTTAGACGCACACGCAAAGTTTGTCGTATTAATTTCCTAAGATTTGTTCACGATACTCTTACATTATAAAACCGTTTTTTTACATTTTAACTGTCTTTTATTTATTATTTCTTGTAGTGTAAAGATATGGATCAGTAAATGACACACGAAACTCCCACGCATTGTTCGATAATATATCGCATATATTTGTTTCTTATCAACCTTGTCTCAGCAACCTTTTAACAAAAGCACTGCCCCCGCATTAATGAAAGGTGTAAAAAGAGGGGAAGTCAAGATGTCAAAGTAACAGAGCTGACCATGTCATGAGGTTTTTTTGTTGGATGTTGTGCGCAAAATATATAATCTTCAAGCCGCGATTCACACATATAGTCCGATTTTGTATCTCAGATTGTCTCTTGAGTTTATCTTGAGGTTCCATACTTTTTTATTTCTCGGCCACAGAGTCGAGCGTCTGAGGATGAACTTAAAACGATCTTAAATACAAAATTTGACTATAAACTATCGGTCTTAGAGATTTCATAGAAAACTCCTGATAAAATAGAAATGATATAAGAATGTAAAGTTTCACTGTGTGTGTGCGTGTGCACACATTAAGACCAATGTCAGTGTTAACAACTATAAAACGTTTACAAACAGCTGCTGTTTGTCTATATTAACATTTATGTTATTTTCTATTTTCTACACGTTGTAAATGATATATTTGTGAGGTAACGCGTCGCGCACGCAAATACGTGTGCGTATGCATCGTGCGTATGACGTTTTTCATACTTACAGCTGAAGTTTTGTGATACGCATGCGGCGCGCGGAAATGACCTCGTAGATTACAAAATCGCCAGAGTAGTATCCGGATTGTTTAGTCGCGAGTCATGTGTGTATATTACACGCAGAAATGAAACTGTCTTATTTATCGCTTAAAAGATCTAAACGCAATTATCTTGAAAATTATGAATTTATATAATAATATATTTGTCTGTGTTTTTTTCTGATGTAAAGAAAATGCCACCCTTCAAGAGAGAAGTGAACCCCAAGAATGAAGATGACAGCGGCGTTACGGACTTTTACGTGTATTCCAGTACAGACCAGGAAGATAAAAGTGGTGAGCAACTATTTGGGTCTTACCTTATTTTTTTTTGTTTTTGCAAGAGCTACATTCAAATAAATATGATTACATCTATCTCTCTCATACAACTTATAAACATACATCTTATATTTTAATTTTGTTTTCAGGAACAGAACTTAGTGCGTCAACTACCACGCCGAAAACTATTGAGGAAAAAGCGGAAATTTTGGGGAAAGAAATCGCGCAAGAACTTGGAATACCACCTTGGGGTCTTGTTGCTATTTTAATAGGTAATGAAAAAAAATGTGATGCAAGATTTTAGATTATTTTAGTATTAATTAGTTTTTGTAAGTACTAAATATATTATAAATATACTGTATAAAAAAAAAGCGTACATAGAAACATTTGGACTGAGATGAGATATTACACATATGTTTGTGTCTTTTTTAAATAGCGGTAGGCATAATCGTTCTCGGAATCTGTTTCTGCTGTATACGAAGATGTTGTCGCAAAAGACGCTCCAAAGATGGGAAGAAAGGTTTGAAAGGTGCAGTGGATTTGAAGTCCGTGCAGCTTCTGGGTAGCACGTACAAGGATAAGGTACGTATTTGGTGTGCCGTGGACTTTATGTAGACGTTAGAAATACATTTTACACTCGGGGAATCCACTTCAACGTGTTTAGGTCCAGCCGGATATGGAAGAATTAACTGATAATGCTGAAGAACCGGATGAAGCCGAGAGCAAGCAAAGCGAAGTTAAACTCGGAAAATTGCAATACAAGGTTTAAGACAAACTTATATTATATTAATACACAGTTATTGTTTTTATTTTTAATCCTATTTACATTTTGCATGCGTATCCTATATTTGAATAATGTAAATAATTAAACAAAAAATAAAATATACATAAACAAACCTATGCTTTTTGATTTTAGCTCGAGTACGACTTTAATTCGAACAGTCTCGCCGTAACGGTCATACAAGCGGAAGAACTGCCGGCATTGGATATGGGCGGCACTTCAGATCCATATGTAAAAGTGTATCTGTTGCCGGATAAGAAGAAAAAATTCGAGACTAAAGTTCACAGGAAGACATTGAGTCCCGTCTTCAACGAAACTTTCACGTTTAAGGTCTATTAATAGAAGTTCTATTTAGTTGGGTATGATTATTTATTTATTGTTGTTAATAAGTATATTTGTGTATATATTTGTGCAGAGCGTTCCTTATGCCGATGCCATGAATAAGACTCTGGTCTTCGCGATCTTCGACTTTGATCGATTTTCAAAACACGATCAAATTGGCGAAGTTAAAGTGCCGCTTTGTCAAGTAGACTTGGCACAAACGATTGAGGAGTGGAGGGAGTTGCAGAGTGTTGAAGGCGAGGGCGGACAGGTCAGTCAATCGATTAATGTGAAAACAACCAAATCTCAATAGCAATGTATGATGTCAAAATAAAAAAAAATAAAAGATATAACACGAGATATAGATATCTTACATATGTATATATAAATCGATAAAGTTATACAGTTTTTGTAACATTGAGACAATAGCGCCTGCAATTTTATTGCATATTAAAAAATATCAAATAACAAGATGTTTCTGTCAATTGCAGGATAACAAACTAGGAGACATTTGCTTCTCATTGAGATATGTACCAACGGCTGGGAAGCTCACGGTAGTTATTCTGGAAGCCAAGAATCTAAAGAAAATGGACGTCGGCGGGCTCTCAGATCCTTATGTAAAAATTGCGTTGATGCAAAATGGAAAGAGATTGAAGAAGAAGAAAACGTCAATCAAGAAGTGCACTCTCAATCCATATTACAACGAATCATTCACCTTTGAGGTACCCTTCGAGCAGATACAGGTATGAAGAAAGTTTTATTTTTATTTAAACACAAATAATCGAAATAAGACTAATAATTTAATTCAAAATTAAAAGACATAATAAAGCTCCTGAGAGCTCGTCAAGCGCGCGAAATATTGTTCAAAAAGTAAATTTAAAATTAAATATATTGATTCAAATGAAAATTAATGTTTTCAGAAAGTACAACTTGTCGTCACCGTAGTGGATTATGATCGTATCGGCACATCAGAGCCGATTGGAAAGGTGATTTTGGGATACAACGCGAGCGGAACAGAATTGAGACATTGGTCAGACATGCTGGCATCCCCCAGGCGTCCGATCGCTCAGTGGCACACGTTGAAGGATCCCGAAGACGGAGATAAGAAGGATTAAAAATGTTGACTTTCCAATTAAGGTATTACAATGCGCATTGAAAAAGCATTTAATATGTTTCAGAGAGAAAGAGAGAGAGAGAGTGAGAGAGACACTCTATTCGATTCGACTTTTAATTATAAATTCTTTGATCGCTTGTTTGCATATTTTGTTTACTTAAATTAACATTCTGTAAAGCTTCTAACATAAGGAGATTATAAACATAAACTTGACAATAATTAAAATTGTTCGTTTTGAAACATATATTGCATAACAAATTTAAGTGGTTTTTCTTCTTGATTTGCATTCTTTTGTTCAGGTGTAACTACTTCTTAAACAATATAGGTTTTGTAATAATTATTTTCTGACAATTGATTCTCTCGTTGCAGGATAATTGAATTGGAGAGACAAAAACGATAAAGAATGAATAATAGACATAAAAGGAGGAAAAAAGAAAAAACAGAAACCGAATATAAATACACATACCAAAAAAGAAAGATGAAAAAAACAAATGCATACATACTTAATAGATATATTAATACTTTACGCGATTAACTAAACGATAAAAAAAATACCAAATCATGAAGAATTTAACATAAAAAATAATATGTTTCCATGTGGAAAGGGAGTAGTGTCTTGTATATACGTATATCTAATATACTTCTCTCTTGATGTAACGTTAAATGAAAAATTTCACTAATCGTGTCCCTTTTTTGAGATATCAAACGAGAAGAAATGAGAACACACGCGCGGAAGAGCAGATAATTGAAAATTTACAAAATAATTCGCTTTCATCTTTGCTCGATTAGCGCAAGTTTGATTAATAAACGTTCTAAATTATTTATGTTATAACATAAGCTTTACATATTACAATTTAGTTGTGTCGTCTTTCAAAATAGCAATATAATATCGCTACAAATATCACAAGTTACATTTGCAATTAGATAGATATTGTTTAGAAGTTAAATTATTATCGAGTTTTAGATATATATCATGAACGGGCCTATACACACACACACACATATATATATATATATATATATACATATATATATATATTTATATTTGACTTCTCTGTTATTGATCATACGTTGATTCATTCATTGACGAACAATTGAAGGAGCAGTAGATCAAAACTAATTTTTGGATATTTGAGGAATATTTCGGAACTTATCGACGATCAATATGAGATATAAATAAGAAGAAAGAAAAAAGAAAGAAAGAAAGCGAATGAAGAAATGAACAAAAAACTATACAAACAATAAACATTACGATTTCTCTATTTCAATCGTAACAAAAATTTGCTATCCATCATCAGACTAGTACGTAATTTATATCATTTGTTTTTGATCATCTCGCTCCATTCTATTATGATATAATTATAAATATATATACAGATATATGTATATAATTTTAATTTTAATGACCCGAGAGAGAAGTTATATATATGCGATATCGAATTCTAGTGATGGTATAATAAAATTATATACGGTAGTGTGTTCTGTTTGATGAATATACTTAGAGTGATTTATAATTCGAGATATTAAAAACGTGCTTCACGTTTCTTCAGTTTGTGCTAACAAATTTTTGCTAAATGTATGTATATAATACATATAACTTTTTTAGACACTTACAAAAAAATTACTTCGTTTCACGTTATCACATTTTGTTTTATTCAAGTTTCCACACACTTTTGTATAGATTTTGCTAAGTCTTAGATTAGATTTAAAAGTATATAAATGTATAAAAAATCGAAAACAATATTGTTACCCAGCAAGTATTAATTTCTGCAGATGTAACATTTATATCGTATTATAAAAAATCTGTTTGTCGCTTTCTCTTTGACGTTTCTTATTTAATTTTTGTTACAAACAACACACGTAAACGAATTTGAATTTTACACAAATTGTTTTGCGCCATAACGAAACATGACTTAGAGTTTACTCTACCCGTAAAAAACTACATATAAAAAATATGATCACTTGAAGTATAAGAATTGCACGCTCTACCGTGTTCCTTGATACATAATAATAATAATTAATGATAGATACTAATAATTATTATTATAATCGTCATATATAATAATGTTAATAAAATAACCGAGGATATACTGAGGAATGGACTATTTGGCGATATCTATTGATTTTAGCTTTGTATTGTAGGAGAGTGTTTACTCAGTATATAAAATTATAATTACGCGTTACATCTATTATATCTTGTTACAATATGGAGATTATAAAGTACTTTATTATATAGAGATTTTCTTGCTGGGAGTTTTTGAGAAATAGTTGAGGAAAAGAAGAAAGAGAGAGAGAGAGAGAGAGAGAGAGAAAGAGAGAATATTGTCACTAAAGGGTCACAATCAGTCCTTTTTCCCACATTTCCCGATGTTTCGAAACTAATTTGGTGATCTACTTGTGTGTTTATTCTATTATAAAAACAGCTGTATTACGGACGTCCAGATCATCATAATCCACTTACGAAAAAACGACAAAAGCGTAACGTTATATAGTTGTATGTTTGCGCGCATGTGTGTGTAAGACTCAACAAAGAGATATACCTACTGAGATTAGAATATTTATATACAATCCATATAGATATATATATATATACATATGCTACATCTTTGCAATGCTGATACCTCCAAGTTTTAAATTAATTTGCGAGTTTACGTAAACGTTCAAAAAAATCTCGTTTAAAAATTCTATTCTAGAATTATCCATAAATGTTTCTATGAAGATTTTTTCCGAACGCTAGAAGCTGTTTTTCTTATCGTCAGATATACATTTTGTATCTCTTACTTACGTTTCTGATATAATATATATACCTATTATCAAGATTTGCAATCTTGAAATTTTATGTTCTCGTTGTTATCGCTACACTGGCGTTCGATCGAGGTAAAGGAAGATAAAAAAAAAAAAAAAAAAACTAGAAATTGTGAAATAAGATATTTGTTACTCGTTTGTGTGTCAAGATAAATCTTTTTCATTTAGCGATGTGAAAGATAATCGCCGATCAGAGGCCTCCTCTGCAATCGATCGATCGTAGAAGATCGATCACCTGAAACGACAACGCATAGCATTTATAATACCTATACACAAAATATGCACGGATGTAGAAACTCACAAATCAGAGATCAAGTTCAAGTGGTTAGGATACGTAGAATAGCGTTGTGTAAAGAACATGAATTATCGATTAATTCAAGGTAATGTATCACAAATTAAAAAAAAAAAAACAAAAAAAAAACAAAAAAAAACCAAGATCCGCGTTGATTTTCAATCGTAATTTACGACATCGGTGTCCGTAACGACGCTAATCGCGCGATTGCGATTCATTTATCTTAAAAAAAAAAAAAAAACCGAGAATTCCCGAATCCCACGCTAACATTGTGCTACGTTTTTGTTCTATCGTTTCTTCAGGACCAATTATCGTAAAAAAAAACAAAACAAACTGTAGGATCAGTATAGCATGTGCGAGACACGTTATTAATTACGCAGCCGTACATTAAAACCATTTCAACGAAAAAAATTTGTGAATCAACGTATCGTTGAAGACAAAGTGAAAAAACAGCGTCTGAGATCGACTGAGAACACAATCGGGATCTCGAGTAATCTGTTCTTGGGGATCTGTTCTCTTCGGCTGTAGCTCTTTTTGCACTTTCCATATTTAACAAGTAAGATAGATAGGTACGCGCTCACGTTATACTAACGGAGAGAGAAAGAGAGAGAGAAAGAGAAGCGAGCAAACGAGCGTGAATGGTGCAGCTGAACAGGACGGGTCTAATTTAAGAAAGGAGAGAAAGAAAGAGAGAGAGAGAGAGAGAGAGAGAGAGAACTCCATTGTATATCTTACAATGTCGTCCACTGTGTGTGTGTACTGACATTTGATTACTGATTACTACCATTTACCATTTAACATACTCAATTACAAAAATGAAATAAAGCGCGTTTTAGATTGTCGTCAGATCAAGTGATATAAGCAAAGTGCATCATGTAGAGTGATAGTTATAGAATATATAAGTGATGATATCGGAAAAATGCAAGGCGAGTATGCGATAATCATTAGACAGTCACGATCGATCCATCCGAGCACGCTTACAGAATGCGAAAGAAGAATAACAAAAACTGCAGAGAGTGTACGATCGCAACCGCAAATGTGTGTGTGTGTGTGTGTGTGTATGTGTGTGTAGAGTGCGCATGGCGCGTGTGAATGTGTTGTGCTACATGTAAGTAATAATATCTCTTCTAGAGAAAGAAAGAAAGAGAGAGAGAGAGAGAGAGAAAGAGAAAGAGAGAGAATATATATAAAATACAAATCTCGTGTCTGAAGTCACAGCAATTTTCTTCGAAGGGTTTACATGACGACTTGCTTCTCATCGCGAGAATGATTTTTCAGAGAGTGAATTTTCATTTGCGGACCAACTGCGATTCTGCGAATGAAGAGTGATTAAAGAGAGCATAAAGAAAAGCGGATCTCTTCATTGCAAAAGAAGAACTGATGTTAAAAATCCGTTCATATTTGCCGATTCGAATAGCAGCACGTAGCACGTAGCACGAAGACAAATTGTATATAGAAAAAAAAAAAAAAAAAAAAATGGAACGCGAGAGTATCTGTAAAGCTGTAGTTTAGTCTGCGGATAACAAATGTCTTCGATGCGATTGAAGCTATTTTATGAGCACTGCGTTTGTATCTCTTTTGATTCAGTTCCGCGCTGCAACGACGATATATATACATATATACATATATATATATGTGCTCGACGGTGTATACAGCTGTACGCAACGTTCTCTTGCCATATTATGTAGTTGAAAAAAAAAAAAAAAAACTGTCGGAGCAGCACAATAACAATAATCATCCTTTGAAAATACCGAAATACTATCGCAAGCAAAAGAAACATAAAATGAAAAGAGCAATTGAGTGTTGATTCGATTTTTTTTTTTTTTTAATTTTTGGTTCAAGAAAAAAATCGATTTTCAACAACTCTTCTCTGTAACAAAATTAAAACCTGTTAGTTACTTTTTTTTTTTAATTAACGCAAATAATTATATTTACACTTTTTGCACTGTGTCGACTGTTTGTATCATCAAGAGAGATTATCAAGATTCAATTTTGACGACGACAAGGTAATATTTTGTCTTATACACATTTTTCTTTTGGCTAACGTGATATATCGTCGGGAGGATGCTCGTTGGGCGTCGTTTGTAAATTCCATTAAATTAAGTAGGTGTATCGAGATCTTATCAACGTACGTTAAGACGGATACTGAAGAGTTCGGCGAAGAGAAAAAGAAAGTTACCCTTCTATCTATACGATTCTCTTTTGGAAAACCGTTAGATGGCAAAACTTTCTTTAATTTTCTCTTTCTCTCTCTTTTTCCTGCGAACAATTCAGTGATCTGTCTGCGACATAAATGTGCGTAAATGTGTGTATTCACGTATGTATGTACGTATGTATGTATACACACACACACACACACACACATATTGTACACGTTAGTGCAGACGACGTCGCGAGCATCATTTGCGACAGGATCATCAATCCATACGAGATCATTTCTTTTAAAGAGAAAAAGACGGAAGAAAGAGGAAAAACATTTGAACACTCTCGCGCGAAGAGAATCCATTTTTAAATTGGAATCATCAAAGAGACTCCGATTTGAAACGTGAATGTATCGATGAAAACCTGTAATCATTCCACCGCATATTATATTACATACTATTAAGGTTTAGTGCGACAATGTATTGTAAATCTATAGAAGTTATTACTATACCGTAATAATTATTATGTAATAAATATTGTTGTTAACATAAATGGCTTGATGTTGTTGCAAACGTACCCGCGTGTGTGTAATCATTAGTTTAAACGTGTGTGCGGTAAGTAGAAAGAGATCGGAATTACAAATAAAAAAATTGCACGGCCTCTTAACGCAAACATACGCACCAGAGGAAGTTCTTTTTGTATAAGTTAAAAATATATATTTCGTATTTCTAACAGACTTAAATTAATTATACAGTAAAAACACACGAGAGTTATAAATTACATATTGTTATACTTAATCTATTCCATCGCTTGGACGGCGATTTTGATCGTCGCTGTCTTAACGCGGCGCAAAATCCGCAAAATTTACGCTTTTTACAGCAGTCAAGTAAAATATTTTAAATAAGAGAAAAAGGACGAAGAAAAAAGAAAGACGTAACAAGATCTAACGACTACAAATGTACAATGTGCGCCATAACTATGTAAAAAAAAAGCAATACGAGATGCTTAAAAAAAAAAAAAACGACCAGATCCACATTCTACTCTATAATTATGTTGATCAGTTGCTTCAGCAGACTTAATACTGGCGGGAGGACGATCGCTTCCGACTTGTCCGACGCTGGCTTTTTTCGGGCAGTCCTCGGGCGTACGGTTTGTGTGCGTTTGTTGACAGATAGAAGATGCCGCGCGCTCTATCACAATTATTAAAAAAAAAAAAAACAAAAAACAAATGCATATAAATATTTTTCTATTTTTCTACACCTGTATTTTCTACGTCCACGAAAAATCACACGCGGACACAGAACGTTTTAATAGTTTTTGTGACGATATATATAACATTTATACTTACGTATGAGGAGTATCCTCCCCCATCAAGATGTACTCTTCTCTTTTGGGATTGCACCATCCGATTAGATAAGAGAAGAGATTTGCGCACGGTGCCGCCCAGAATCCCTTTGTTGTCGTAATTGATTCTATGTAGTACGGTGTCACTTTTGTGTGATCGCACGAGAGTGTTTCTACAAGAGAGAATCACTAACATTTTATACGTAAAGAAAAATGCAAAAGTGTTTTTGTTCTTTTTTCTCATATCTCAGCGAATTACTCAGAATTATTTTTTGCGCTCACGATTTTTGTCATATCGTTCACGAGATTTTTTTTATCATACTGCTCACAAGATAATGTTGAATGTCACTTACGGAGTATGGAAGAAGTGGCGCATCCGGGTTGACTCGAGCCGCCGTTTACGTAAAAGTCCGCGTGACCGTTGGGTCCCCATTGGCCCAGAATACCGGCTCCCGTGTGAATCACGTCCACAAAATGGGCATCTGTCTCGTCTAAATCCATCGATCGGTTGCCGTTCATGTAGAAAAATATCGTTGGATCGAGGCCTGCGCGAAAACACAAGAGAAAATGTAATTCGCTTAAGCGAATAATTTTTCATCGAAAAATTGACTGGAATCAGATAATGATAATATTGTATTACATTGTGTGAAAAAATTGAATTTTTGCGAGACAACAACAATTGATTGCATACGAGCAATTACCCGTAATTCTTCCGAGTTTGTCATCGGGCAAATAATTCGCGACCAGTCCGGCAATATGCGCACCCACGCTGTATCCGAGTATGTGTATGTTTTCCACCCTTGTGCCACGTGGATGATTCTTCAAGTACGTCACTAACTGAGCGATGCATTGGGAACAAAAGTCCGGTCCCCACGAGATCTGCGATAGACAAGGCTCGCGTACCAACGAACCATAATCCACAATTATAATATTGTAATCGCCTCGCGTGAAATATGCTGAAATTGAATGTAGCGATATGGCTAATAATTGCAAGTTTATTACTGGTTTATTACTAGTTTTTTTTTTTTCGTGTTCTTCAATGTTTTCTCGCGCATTTGTATTTTTATATCACAAGCTCGACTCGTGTTATAAACTCACGTTTATATTTCTTATTTATCCGCTGGTAAGAAAGTTATTGATAATAATTAAAACAATTGTATTATTAATTTTTATATGGTCCTCAATATCACACAAAAATTAGAAAACTGCAATCTTACCTTTTCGTAAATCCGTGCTAGGTGCTAAGTTTCGCCCACCGCCGAAACCATGAATAATAATTTTTGTGGGATGGTTCTTGTTAAATTCGGAATTTTGAAGCGAATCGAAGTCTCGAACATCTAACAGAAGAGGAGTTTTTTGGGTTTCTCTGAAAAAAAAATCACAAACGGAAGATAGTTTGTATAAAAATAATAACTTTCCGCCGATGCGTCGCACACACATTCTTTACTTAAATATAGATATGGTAGTGAGAGCAGACGATACTATAGATACAGTAGCGGGAGAAAGGTAAGTCTAAAAGGAGGTCACGCTTTCAGTAGATAAAATGATCGTGATCTTGAAATCGAGAGTTGTAACATTGACCGTTTCCGCATTAAGCGATTCACTCTCTTTGAAATAATACAAAAATATAATTGACATCTAATTAAATATTATTTTAACGAATAAACTCTTAAATCAAATATTTATTTTTTCTGTAAATAATAAGTATATAATAATCTTAATTAATAAAGCGAGATTATATATATATATATATCTCTATATTTGTATTTGTGTATTTTATATATTCGTAAAAATTTACAATTTCCAAATTTGCAAAAAGAATGAAAAAAATTGGAATGTATTTATGAGCTGAAAAAAACTAAGAAAGATTAACATAAAACTAGAAAAAACTAGAGAAAATTAACATAAAAATAAACACTACCTGGTATACAGATAGAATTCTATCTGTGGATGTGGACAAATGTAAGGCGGTGTGGCACAAGACGTACTATTAAAGAGATCCCTAAGGGTTTTGTTGTTGTTTTGAGCCTTTGCATAGTCTGAAAATATAATCAATTAGCTGTTATTAGCATTTTTCTCACTTTTCTGAATGAGCGGCGCTATTATTCTTACGTTTAACTGTCGGTTATTCGATCAACCGTGTAATAAGAATTATGTGTCTCGTGCGGTAGGTTTTTATTATATCACTCTACGCAAAACTGGGTGAAGGTTGACGATCTAGTTTATCACGATGATACTTCGGATTCTCTAACCAATTAAACTTATAATATTTCTGCTTTCTCTTTTGTCCTTCAATTCCTCTTAAATTTGAAATGTCAAAGCATCAGTAGTTATAATTAAGTTTTTTAATCTTACAAAATTTTGTCATGGTCGAAATAATATTTATTGTATTAAAATCACTGCTGTGAACATACAGATCTGTTATTGTTTAAAATATTATTATTATTTTGACAACACCAATAAGTTTCTATAAGGCTATTATTATGTGACTATCTCAATTTTTCCCGCACTTTTTTTATCGAAAATGTGTTTCCGAAAACAAGATACAATCGATTACAGCATCCTGTGACAAAATATATTCAACGAGTAAGCCACATAATTTGTTTTCTCTCGCTCAAGTGTACTCACATAGTTGAAACACACAGCTCTCACCGAAAGTAAAAGTTATCGTCGTAAATTCTCGAAGTTAGAGAGTCGATATATAGACTCGTTTAAAAGAACTTGTTTACAAGAATAAATTTTACTCTTTGTTTTTTTTAAACATTTGCGCGCTATATGTAAAGTTACCGCGCCAAAAGAACAAGTGTCCTTTGTTTGAAATAAAATCTTTTTTACAATACAAAGAGATGAAGATTTATATTGTTCTTGAGAAAGCGCGCGATATCTCGCAGAATCTGAAAAAGCCACGTGTTGTAACTTACCACGTGTATCACGAGATTTAGTAAAAGTACAGAACACAGAACAGACACAGCTTGAAAAAAAAGAAACGAATAAAACAAAGTTTTTTTATCTTGAAGATGTGTTTTATATCTTTACATAGAGATTTGATCGTCGGTACATCGATCGAATCTCAAATAACCGCACACAGACACACATTTGCAACTTAATGAATTAAAACGGAAAACCGTTTCGAACTGGAGGAAAGACGATGAACCGCAAACGATAGACACGGAGCCGCGACGACGTCTCTCAATATACTTACGAGATCGTAGCCCGATGCAGAGCACAAGGAGAGTGAGATATCTCACAGCACTAACCGCCATCTCCCGCGGTGTGAGCCTCGCTTGTGATATAACATTCAGCTATACGGCAAGCGAAAAATCTGCTCGGATGTGATTCCCGCCGCTACGCGTACGATTGCAAAATGCACACTCATCGGGGGATATATATCTCGCCCGAAGGGGATTTTAGAAAGTGAGCACAATATACTACCGGAGGAACGCTCTTTGCGGCGGCGACGGCAGCGGCGCTTCTTTCTTTTTGAACACGTGTCTATAACATGTATTATACCTCTTCCATCCCATTTCGCGAGCACGCCTATGTAATCTCCCCTGCGTCATTTTCCTCACGCGCAACCCCACGCACGCGATCCGCGTTTGCACACGGTGAAATGCGAATGCATTATAATGTTCTGTTTTTTTTTTAAATTGACACTTGTCATTTAATATTTTTTTAATCAATTAACTTTGCAACAAAAAAAGACGTGAAAAATAAATTCTTATTATTAAGATATTTTTTTTTAAGAGCGCGCATATATTTTACAACAATTAAAACATTTGATTGCTTTTGTCACACCGACTCTTTCTTTACGCGCGATTTGTCGAAAATTTTTATCGTTGAAATCCTGTGACGGATTAAAAAAGTTACATTTTTGCTAAAGTATTTGTTTTTGATAGAGTGTTTTTATATTTAACATACTTAATACTTTTTGTTAATATACAGCGTACGAAAAGAACAAAAATATTTGATATCTCAAGAAGAGAAGAGAAACTTGATATTATAACTTGATCTTTTTGCAATGAGGTATTGCATTTTCACAAAACGACTCGAACTATGGACACGTATCTAAATCACATACATTACGAACTTTATTAGGAAACCATAAACTCATCCTTTCACGCGCGTTATGATTTAATCTCACAGCACATGTGATTAGAGAGTTAATTTTCATGTACGCATGTCGCGGAAATGCTTTCTGCATAACTACGTATGTAGTATTTTGCCGTAACAATGCTTTGTGCTTTAAGCAATACGAGAAACGCCTCTGAAGCGACGTCCGCTTATAACAATCACCGTGTGTGTGTGTAGTAACATATAATAAATTATTACACTGCGTTCACAAAAAAACACAAAATTCAGAAATTCAAGTTCTTCTCTTTAACTTCTCTCATGAGACTTCTTGTATATACGATTCATGCAAATATTACGTTCATTATGCAACAACAAAAAAAAAACACGATGTCAACAAATGGCAAAGGTAAGTGCCGCATTTAATAACATAATTTCTCTAAAAAGGTTACGGGATGATGAAAGAGAATATATTATCAATGAAACACTCTTCTCAATGAGAAACGTCTGTTTGTTTTTGTTTTTTTTTTCACTAGCCTCATTTTTTTGCATGTTTTCTTCTTTAAGATTGTAACTTATATTGACACGTGCTCGTTTAACGACGTGTACATAATATAAAATGTAGAACAAGTAAATTTGCAAAGCTTGCTTAATAATTTTCGCAACTCTAGAAGAGAATAAATAATTTTGGGCTAAACTTTCGAAACTGAAGAATGTGAACTGTGTTTCGCGAAAGACGAACAGCTCGCGGATTCGCTCAGGATAAACAAATTTTGAAAAGATTGATTTATTGTCAATAATATCTCTTGTGTTTTAATTTACATAATACACTGAAAATTACAATATTACATACATATTTTACACAATTAATTATTGTCGCAATAATGAATAACAAGCCAGATTGCACCGGCGTGTAACAATAAAGTAACCGGTGTGTAAAAATTATGCGCGACTATGCGTGTAGTACAGAGAGCGGACCTAGATTTAAAGTAAACAATCAAAAATGTGTCAAGATTAATTATTTGCTTGTGTATACAGACATGTAATTTCGTTTTTTTTTTTTTTTAAGATTATTAGAAAACATTTCTGAAATGTAGTGCTTATATTCTCGCAAAAAGCAATGAAAGGATTGCATAAATTACGAGTATTTGTCAAGATCGGTTTTGTTCACGTTTTAATTAATTTCTTTTTGCGATTCACGATGAGAAGAACTAATATAACGCGCGGTTTGGTACACCTGTGTATCTCTAAACATTCATATCTTTAATGTGCTCTCTTATATACAGGGTGGCCCAGCCTAATTGTGATACAATCCTTGGAAAGGGGCCACTCTGTATATAAATAAATATATGTATACATATATATTATTTATATATATATATGCATATATACATATATGCATCATTCCATAAACATTAATTATAATTATTCAAATATTCTATTGAGAAGCAATTTATCGTTCGATAGAAAAACTTAGAAAAAAAAGAATTGTTACAACCGAATCGCGATTAAAGTTCCATTAATTTTAATTAATGTTTATGGGAACCTTATTGGAGAATCAAACATCTGAACACGAAGATGTGATCGCGTATGCGCGTTATTATTATTTTAATGCCTAAAGTTATTTTGCACAACACGGAAGAGCAAATTCTTTGGATTCACGCACGTAACACTAATTATATGGTGGTATTCCTAACAATTTGTCACATTCAAGTAATATTATATATTATTGTCTGCTAAGTTTTAACACAGTGTCAAGCGTCTCAACGAGTAAAATATGTTAGGAAAAGCAACAGTCAATACGCAACGCGAAAAGAATTTTTCTTTCTGTGAACTTAATTATTTTGTTAAAAAAAAAAAAAAAAAGATTCTTTTCGGCGTTAGCGGAAACATAAAACATGTAAGAGCGTAAGGCTTATTGCGGCTAAATAGCACATTTAATTACTTAATTGCTAATAATGATAATAATCATAGCGTATCTTTGGTACTTCGTTTATAATTGTGTAAATATTGCATTACAATGCAATTACGTAATGTAACGGGTAACCTGAGTTTTCAGGTGAGAAGCGCGTTGAATAATGACTATAACACGTTCTATATTTCACAAACAAACACACAGAAGTAATAACAATGAGAACATTTTTCTTCGAGTCTCTACACTTGATTCGGTAATATCAAGCCATCGAAAAGCTTAGTAACACTTGCTGATCAATACACACAATACTCGCGATAATGAAATTCTCGTTTCTTTTAAACGTAATGTTACAAATTCTTTGAGAATTTCACATTTTTTTATACAATTTCCTTTTACTATTATATATAATTTACTATCATATATGTATGTGTGTACGTATATATATATATATGTCTATTTATTGTACTGTTGTACTACAACAAGTACGTTGAGTAAACATATTTTACTCATTCATAAACTTTCGTCGTTATTGTCAATTAATTGAGATTTCACAAACGTGTTCAATCGAAATACATAAAATTAATAATTATTTAATTACATATACCAGAAGATGTGTATACAAATCGAGTTATAAATATCAGTATGTGTACAGCATTATACATATACATATATATTACGTAAAATATATATATACATGTAGGAGTATATTGCAGAGTTTAAAGATGATTTTAAATTGTGTCAAATATTTGTGCCCGCTTTCAGAATGATAAGTATAATGTACTAATTAATTACAGAATTAACTAATTATTAAAACTTCTTGTGTTCATAAGTTTTTGGGTTCTTTAATATATAAAAGTTTGTTAAATCTAAATTATAAAGCTACGTTTGTATTAAATAAAATTGTTTTACATATAAATGTCACATATTTGCGTGTATGCGTATAATTAAAAACCTTTTTGTTAAAAATTAAAATCCTGTTAAACATTGCATAAGTATACAATAATCACACATTATTCTTACCACTCTGAATCAGAGATATGATATTCAATTTATGTCATCTGCATCTTTGTAACTCAATATATGTATTATTTTTCTTATTCTACGAATGTGTGTCTGTATTTTTAGAGTATTATTATTTATTTTTTTTTTAAATATTGTCAATTCTAATTTTCTTTCTTTTGCGGAACAATAAAATACCCTGATGCGAATTTTTCACAAAAATACAGAAGAATATTTTAACAGAACAATTTATAAATACGTTACATAATCTCGGATGAGTCATTAAACTTTCATTCTTGTATATATGCTTTCCACTTTCATCTTATAAATGCATTATATAAATGCGTTCAAAAAAATAATATTTTAACGGCAACTTTTTGTTCTCGAATTTTTTGCAAACACATAAACAAAAACATGAGAACTTTCTGCAGTCAAATATTCTCTTATTTGAACACGATATATATATATATATATGTATATATATCGTGTCGTTAAAATGTGCGAAAAGCAAATGCATATCTGTTATTTTGAACATATATAAAAGCTAATTGTCATAAATATCCGCAGGGTGTGCCGAAAACAATTAACGATCTCGCAATAACAACGATCGTTCGCAAAATACATTTTCTTAACATTTATAGTAAATTTTTTTTTTCAGTAAATTTGAATTTGTATTTTTTTTTTTTTTCTATCTCGGCTCACCCTTTTCTTCATCTAGTTATTGTCATAAATTATTACTGGAGCTATGCATATAAGTATTAGTGTACATTAGTATTATTGTTCGAACAGCATTGTATATTCTATATTTTTTATAGTAGTTTTATAGTACTTTTTTTTTAGATATTTTTCGAGTTTTCAAAGAAACTTCTTTGGCGTAATGAACAAAGTGACAAATAACGAACGGTCAAAAGTAAACAAACTATATAGTCACACTTTTCTCTCTAACAGGTATATAATATATATACACCTATATATTTAGTGTTTTACTTATGTATATAAATAACGATAAAATATATTAGTAAAATATCTTTTTTTAACACAACGTTATTATTTGCATACACGACAAGTCACGATTAGAAAATTATCGCAAATACAAAACCAAATAAGAGGCAAAGAATATATTTACATATGTCATGTGTTAGTGTGCTGTTTTCTTCTACATTTCACATGTAGTGTGAAATGTAAATTAAAAATAAAAAATTAAATAATTCGTTTTGCTTTCAAGCACATCGAGATAAAGTCCTGATGTAAAGCTTTTTTTCAGGTTTTTCAGAAAAATGTAATCATATTGCTGCTCAGATTTCATAATATACTTTTACCAACGTGCTTTTCCCAACGTTATTCCGAGAGAGACGACAAATTTCTCTCAGCGCAACGTTGACAGAACAGACGGTATAACGATTAGATGACAGTTATCACATGCGTATCATTAATTTCAAGTGTGTTGCAAGTATTTCCGACTTTCTATCACATTGTGTCTTTTTTTAAAACAGTGATGTGCACGCACATGCGGTCGATGCACCGCACGAAAAACTCCACGTTGCAGCATCATAACATACACACATGTTGTAATTAATACCAACCTTCTAATCGTGACTTGTTGTTATTCTACATTCTTACTAGTGCCAAAGTAAAACTGTTGTCATTCGCGTATATGGGATGTTTGCAGATAATACCCACATGTGCGATATTTTTCTTGTCGAAAATTGAAAACTTCATTTTTCTTACACAAAAATTGTATTAAATCACTATTAGTTTAAAATTGCGCTCAAAATTAATTATAATTATATTTAATTAACATGCTATCTGCGTTTAAACATGTGTTTGAACATCCCACGTATACGTAAATGTAATAACAAATTGATGAAAATCCTAAATAAACAATAAATAAACTCTAAATTCTTAGTGCTTTGTCAACATGTGCACGCAGAAGTCTTTAAACATTTTATTGTCGACATTGTAGCGCTGGAGTAACTTAACATTCCTAAAAGCGCGTTGTCTCGCAACACATAAATTGCAACCTTCTTTAATCATTTATCTTTAAATATCGATCACATCTCATACACATAATATATGTCATTTATTGTATGTATGTACATATACATACGTGTGTGTATTTCTAAATGTGTGCTTTATATAATTTATATTTTTATATTAACAAATGTATATAAATATGTGTAATAACGTGTAACGTACGATGTTATGTATATATAGTTTCATTATTGACGAGAGAATATGAGAGACGATATTTTGATGCATATATCGTTTATATGAGTTACACTGGGAGAGAGAAATATATAATTTTTTTTTTAAAAAAGTCTCGCATTATATATATATATATGTCTATATATATATAATATAAATTGACTAATTTTTTGCTCTTCCTCAGTCAACGGAAAGTCTAAACTACTCGATTCACGTAAGCTTGCACACGCACAGGGCGTTCAACAATGCTTGTACTACATTTGTAACCGTAGATATCATATTAAGTATTTTTTGCCTTACATAAATGTATATCAGATTAGATTTATTACCGGGCAATCGAATCGGTTAATTTCGGTTTTTTTTTTTCTAAAAATTTTGATATCATAGATACTCAAAAATAAAATTTCTGTACTTACAAGGAATGCAATAGACATGTGATTTGTTTATAGTCTTTAAAACTTTAATTACGCGATAAGTAAGATTTTATTATTTGCAGTTACAAGATTATATTTTTGTTTTAATTTGCTTATTACAATTAAAAAATGTACTTCTTGATTATTTACATTTTATTAAAGAAAATATTCTTTTTAATTTTCTACGAAAATACACACTTTTTATTTGATATTATTGCGCACATAAGAATATATATATATATATTTATATATATTCATCTCATAATATGTAAAAAATAAAATTGAAAGTAACCGACTCGAATACTCAGGTTTTCGGTTTTACTAAAGTTTACATTTTTTATGAGAGATATCCACAGGATAAGTTGTGTAATTCATTTTCCTGTACACACACATATATTCTTTTTTTTTGTAAATATCCGTCGTTTTGCGTTTGATCGTACATGCATGACCATGAAGAACATACATATATATGTAAATATATTATGATATATGTGTATACTTATATGTGTGTAAATATATGTATGTAAATACATTTTGTATAGACAATATATATATATGTATGTATATATATATATACATATATATATATATTTATATATATATATACATATTATATACTGCTTTTTATTCTTAATCGCGATTTTAATTTGTGTATATTCGTTCATATATCTGTCTATTTAAAATGACTTTTAAACTTTCAATTTGCTATACTTTCATTTATTACACTTTCATTTATTACACTCTATACTTTCAATTGTTTATACTTTCATTTGTTTTTGCTAACTTAAATTTCGAACGGTTATTGAAAACAAACTCGCGTAAAAATTGAAATTGCTATTTGTACGTGAATGCACAAATGGTTTATAATTAATTCTTTTTATCCGTCTTCCAAATAAGTTTTTGACTCTTTGCTTTTGTAAATACGAATAAAACGGTAATTAAATTGCTCTATAGTTTATCCTTTTCTATTTCACTCTGAGCTTTTTATGTGTATATATTCGCTACTATAATATTGTTATCGCAAATTTAATTGTACTATATTTGAATGTGCGTAAAGATATAAAGAGAACGCGTTGATTTTTTTTTTTTTTTTTTAATATATAAATTTAATTTTGACATGCGAGAGTTGTTATGTCAATTCGTAAACTCTCTTTATTGCTATTGTCACGCGTAATTAACTAATTGTAAGTAACGCAAAATTGGAAATACCTAAAAGTTTCAGCGATTGAGCTGATGTCGCGCGTATCGCGAGAAAGATTTTTCTTTTTACGCTTGCCGCTATTTTTCTCAAACCTTGCCGTTATTTATTGTCTGTGTAAAGAGAATTATTGTCTGCCAAGGTTTGAATTATTGTCGATTCAAGACATATGTATATCGATCTGCTCACTAGAACGAGACAACTTACAATTAATACTTTCGATAAGATAGGCGAAAATACTTTCAATAAGGACGAAAATTGTATATAACTATATACATCGTATATCTTTACAAACAATTCCAACATTTTGATAAGTTAATTAAAGAATTTTTTAGGCTTTCTTTATCTAGGCTACTATTGTTAATTGTGTATGATGTAAGATGCAGTTTCAAAAGGTGTTGATTGACCGTTTCTCATTTGTTGTTTTTTAGAAGTGAAAGTTGTTGAGGAATAAAGAATGAAGACATGCGAAAAGTTTTAAAACCTTGAAGCAATAAATAAGTTTTAGACACGTGACGAGTGACAGAACTTATTGTCGTTTTTTTGTTTACGTAAATATAAATAGAGAGATTCTCTCTTTTTTTTTATAAATATTATTAGCTTTACCCCACAGTGAGGTAAAAAATCTCTTCAGTGTCATTTCCAGAGTTAATTGAGTAATCATTCACAGCATCATTCTCTGCACTTTCAGGTATTACGCTCGACAGAAGAACTACAGAAAATTTTTTCTCTTTTTTTTTTTAACGTACTCCCAAAAAAAATTTTTTAACGTAAAAATGCACACTCGTTTTAATTATATTCTTGTGTGTGTGTGTGACTTATAGATTGCTAAATTATTGAGATATACGAAATTTTGTGTAGAACAGAGAGAGTATATATGGTCTTTCTCTCTCTTTCTCTATCTCTCTTTCTTCTCAGACATGCCATAATTATTAGTAATTAAACTCATTAATCATCTCTCTTTCTCTCTCTTTCTCTCGATTAATTGTATATTATTCTATTGCATTTTATTGTTTTGCTTGATAAGATTAAATCAAGCAAGACGTCGTTTTAGACGATTCAGCTTTAGTTAAATTTTTCTCTTACCAAGGAAACCAAAAAAGATATTATTTCTATCAATTTTCTTCTATCGTGACATGTCTGAGAAACCGATAGATTCTCTCATAGTTATGATACAAATGATCTACAACCTCGGAAAAGTAGTCCGCCATTCTCAAATCCGATCGCTCTATTCAGAAGTTGATTAGTCCCATTGCTCGTTTTGCGCGATATCGTGCATGTAATCGTCTGTTGCTGCTGGTTGCACGAGGCATGCGCTGACGTCGCTGACAAATGGATTTGTTGAATGGAATGGATTGTTGCTATTAGTCTCAATCGAACCGTAGCTTATCACGCTGGAAGGTTTGTTATCTTGTTGGGCGTACAAGTGATTCTCAGGTACTGCCTGTTCGTGGGTGCTCCAGTCATCGCTGACACCTCTATCCAGAGACGGTTGTTTCTGAAAATACGTTTAGTTTTTATTTTCAACGCACTAATCTTTATTTTATGATGTTATGTGTTTAGGAAAAATCTTTATTTTATATATAATTTTACATATTTGATGCTTTCGCGGTGTGTAGTATTAACATACAAAGATGTTTTTTCGGGTTTGAACCGCGTTAGTGTCATTTTCATACCGACGTTTTGTGAACATTACAGCAGCCTGATACTGCTCAGTATCAGGCTGCTCTTCAAACCCTGATGAAGTAAGCTGTAATGTTCACGAAACGTCGGTATAAAAATGACACTAACGCGGTTCAAACCCGAAAAAACATCTTTGTATGTTAATTTTATATATCTTTGTTTTATATATAAATATTTGCAACAGCGTTTGTGAAACACGATTTTATGAATATCCGAAAAAACCATCTTCAGGAATGATTTTATGAATAATTTATAAATACTTACTATAAATTCAGATTGCATGGTTTTCGGCGGAGATGGAACAGGTGGTTCTGTCTGGCTCAACTCGTCCATGGGATTCCAAGCTTTCTGTTCTTCCAGTTTAGGATCAGCCCACGGTTGTAACTCGCCGGAACAAAAGATGGCGTAAAATGTCACGCCAAAAATGTGAACACAAGCTGCTATGATGAAAACATTTCGCCAACTGTGCGCGTCCTAAACGAGAATATCAATTTATATATCTCGGTGATATTTACGTTAAGCACGCAAGTAAAAAACTAATTTCTCTTTTTATGTACCTTCTTCTCCGTAATATTATCTACAAAGAAAGGAACCAGAAGACCAGCGATAGTGCCGATCCCGTTGGACATGCCCATTAATATGCTAGCGTATCTGGGAGCAATGTCCAGATGATTGACATTGAAGCCAGAAATAGCAAAACCGCTACATGCAACACCGATCGCGAGAGCGACCGTAGCTGCAGTTCCATTTTTGGATGTTGTCGCGTGAGCCACCACCAAGAAGAAAAGCGCCTCCATACCAAAACCACCGCAGTTGAAAACCTTTCTGACATTCGTTGTCGACATGATGCCTCGTTTGCGAAGATGATCCGCCAACAAACCGCCACAGGGTACGATCATTGTCATCAGCAAGTGCGGAAGCGAACCAATGACTCCAGTCTATTTCAAATTAAAATCATCAAACGTATCAATGTAAAAAAAAAAAAAAAAAACAATTTTATAGAAAATTCACCGTTTATATCGATACTTACCTCAACGAGCGGCATGCCAAAGGACTCGTGCATGAAACGTGGTTGGAAGAGCACCAGTAAATAAAAATTCCACGATCTACAAAAATTCGCGACGATAATGGCGTATACGGGCATCGAGGTGAGAAACTTTCCCCACGGAGTCGTGGAAAGCGTCGGCACCGGCATTTGGGCTTGTCCCTGACCGAGCGAGTCCTCGATGTAACGCAGCTCGCGCATCGAAATGCATGGATGTTTCGACGGTTTTTCGAAGGCCATCCACAACCAGAACCCGTACCAAATTAAACCGCATACGCCTGCAACGTAATGTTCGAAGTCGCATTTGTCAAAACGTCACATCTTTATTTATTTTCTTGTCGCAGAAACAATTAATTTTCTTTGTCGCTTATTATGGTTTCATTTTTATAAGCGACAATATTATATTCAATTAATTATTAGGATTCAACTGTCTCTCACAAGCTGTCTTTATCAGCGCGCGATGTGTTAAAAGTACGACACCCCGAACATCTGTGATATCATATCCGTCGCACACTCGCCGCCATGCCGTCCAATAGATACAAGCGCGTACTGATATATACACTTCGCCAACTAGCACATATAGGAAACCTCATGCGTGCTTCGAGACGGGTGATGGGAAAACCCAATGTGCCCGCCATTGCGAGATGTGCAATTTCGTCACAAACTTCTCATTGGAGATGCCTGTGTTTTATACCACGAGGAGCCTCGAGGAGATTTGCACATTTGCCCGTAAGCAAGAGCTAATTCTGGCAAAAGTGAAAAAAAAAAAAAAAACCCACGTCTAGCTGACGTAAAAAGAAAATAAAACGAACATAAGTCAAGCAACATGTAAAAAACAAAGAAAGCAGATGCAAAGCGTAAACGTGACTCTCTTTATTTTAGTACACCAAAAAAATTTGTCACATTTCTTTATTTTCTTCTACAACGCGGAAGAAGAACTTGCTAATTTGTAGAAACTGTATCTTTTACCGTAAAAATAAAACGACGCTGTCCAACCAAACCAGGAGCTCAAATATCCGGATAGCGGCATGCCTATCACCATTGCGGCGTACGATCCGCAAAACGCTAACGTGGCCAAACGCGATCTTTCCAGAGGTGGTGCCCAATATTTCCAAATCCCGTGACACGCCGGATACGTAACACCCTGTTAAAGAAAATCGAAAGAAATCGATCGTAACTGAACGTATTGTCACGCAATAATAATCTTTCATACATAATTATTAAATATACTTTTTTTATTTGATTTCTCTGTTCAACTCACCTCGACTAATCCTTTCAATACTTGCACGCACATATCGACTATAGGATCCACTTTGAGCGCACCGGGCACGAGCAAATTTAAGAAGGCGGATATCGCGATAGCCGTACCGAAAATTTTATTTGCGGGATATAATGATGCAAGAAAACCACCAGGCACTTGAGTCACTAAATAGCCCCAAAAAAATGACGAATCAAGAGCGCTTTCCATGCCAACCGTCCAGTTGAACTTGAAAGTTTTGTTATCGCCCTCCGTGCTATTTTTCATCACCAACTTGGCCATGCCCATGTTACATCTCATGCCGAACGAGATAATAAATCCTAAAGAATACAATTGTGTACACGTATACAATTGTACAAGAATACACGTTTTTTTTTTACGTGTGCGATGTAGAAACGATAAATTTTTTTCCGACTCTTTTGATCGTTAGAAATTGCACATAACAATTATAAGAGCAAACGTGCTTTTTGATTTTTTCTTCTTACCTATGCAAGCCAATGTGGCGATGGTGTACCTCTTTGAAAGACACGGGCATTCTGGCATACAATAGGTATCGATATGTCGCAATGGTGGTCTTTCTGGTTCCGGAAGTGATTCCACCGAGGCATCTCTGTTGTATCCTTTTTCATCCACGAATCCTTTATTATCCTTACTACCCTGGTGCGAAGTATCTAATTCTTCGTAAGTGGGCCCAGTCCTTCTAAATCTACGCATACATGCCTACATTTGTCGTACGGTTTTCAACAAAAATTATCTTTTCTCACATACTCATTTCAATCATACTGTCCGTTTTTAAATAATTACTGTCTGTTTTTAAATTAGTGAAGGTTTTAGTTAAAATTATATTTTCTGCAGTAGATGTATTCTGTATATATATATATTGTGTGTACTTTATTAATATAATATATTACTCAGATAATTTCAGTTGCGCTTTAGTCTTGAAGGAGTCGAAGGCTACGAGACCCGCCGCTGCGAATCCGGACATTTTCCAATTATTGGGGTTGCTTCAGGATTTCGATGTTAATTGGCAGCCTCTAATGAAATACAACATTTACTCGTATTTATATGGTATCACAAATAAATCACATTAACTATATATAACATCATTATATATCATTTTTAAATAAGACCTAGAAAAAACGACGTAAATGTAATTAGCGCTCAGCGAATTACAAAATTATTTCAATGATAAAAAATATCAACGTTAAATTCGATGAGATTTTTAAGATAAGATATTGAAAGCAGTTTGGTATTTCATGAGCAAAATTTAATGTTGCCGAACATTTTTACAAAGTAATAACCGTTTTGTTACTGTGTCTCGTCGACGCGACTTCTTCTGTAAGTCCGCTATATCTGTATATAGGATATCTCTCTATAAAAGAGAGACGAAACGACACAGGGGAACTCGGGTTGGAGTGTTTATTTGGAGTGGCAGTCTCTCCACCCCTAATCTCCGAACTCTCGAGGGAGCGTCTTCGGAGGGTTGGAAGCTGTGAGAAGAAACGTATCACCGGCAGTACACCGAGATCACATTTTTCACTTAAAGTTCGTACGTGCATCTCCGCTAAACTGTAAAATCTTAATCTCAGATCGTTTTAATCAAAATGTGTACATTGAAAAAAAAAAAAAAGATATTAACATAGATTATAGCGTTCTTTCTAAGATGAAATCTTTACATCTACAAACTCTGCAATATACAACAATGAAAATAACAGAGATTATATGTATTTTATGCGCTTTCTTTTTATAAATTAGATACACACTTAATATATTTACTTTCAACTACGCTTTTTTAAATGTAATTTTATATTCGAGAAACTGAACTATCTTCTATCTCTTTTCTTCTTTCTCTCTCTCTCTCTCTCTCTCTCTCTCTCTCTCTCTCTCTCTTTCTCTCTCTCTCTCTCTCTCTTTCTGTCTTATAAGCATTTATATTATTTTATTTCTCACTAAGATAAAATCGCGACAATCATCGTGGACATTATAATCGTCATCGTTGACGTACGATGTAATAGGACGGTGTACAAAAATCGTTACGGGGGTGCTGCGCCGATCGTAAAGAGGCGCATCAAAGAACAATGGCTCCCAGGTATTAAAACGGCACGTGACAGACAAAAGGCACAAAATGCACAGCGTGTGTTAACGAATTGGGGTAGAATGATGAGTATGGGACATGCTGACTCAACTTAATGGACATGAGCGACGATCGACGAGCAAAGCTCTCCTATCGTGACTTTCACCTCATATATACGTGTGTGTAATATATAGTGTACGTGTAGACATTAAAAGATACAATGTAAATTTAAAGGCGCGCTTAAACGAGTGGTTTTTCCTTGTTCTTGAAAGAAAGAATGTATAATTTATTTGACTTTTTAGGGTCAAGATGTGTGAAAGAGATGACGCAAGTACTATTTTGTATTTTATACATACGTAGACGCAATATTAATCTCACAGATGAAGTAATTAGCAAATGACAAGCGAGTGATTGGGACAGAATTCATTTCTATTACGTCATAAAACGAGATTTGATTGAAGCTGGTTTGCAGAAACTCACTTTAGAGCTAATCGACGTAAGAATGGCGCAAACGTGGATTGAAATAGCCTCGCAGCCTCGGGCACTGGTATAAACCCAAGCCAAAATGAATTTATAATAACAATACAGAAAAGGTAATATTCGCGCGACCAGACTAATTAAGAGATTCAGTCCTCTCACAATTATCACTATTACAACATTCCACTTTGTGACAATTTCACATCGCGCAAGAGGAAAACACATAAAAATATATTGCCCGAAAAAATAAGAATTACACGAACGAAATCACCATTTTATTATTCGTTACACCACACACATCAGGATTTTTGAACTCAAAACTCTTCCAGCTGAAGCGAAAACCAAAGAATATTATCCTTTATAACAGAATGGCGAACGTCACTTGTTTTAAATTCTGTTCATTTCCAAGATCATAAAATCTTTCACATTTAAATTTAAATCAGAAAATTAAAAATAACACGAATTAAAATTTAACAGTCTGCACATATATCGATTATTGTATTATTTCTGTGTTATCGCTTTTAAGATTATACGATCGAATGCTAATAAAAACACATATTTTACAATTTGTGGCTCGAAATTTCAAAATCATCTTTCGTTACATTAGAAAGTTTACGAGTTTATCAGCATTTGTTATATCACTATTTGACATTTGGCAGAAGAGACTCCTCCGTTACCAAAAAGAAAAAAGATATGGAGGGAGAAGATCGTTCCTAGATTTAATTTGCTCGCGCGATCACATAAAAATCGTTATTTAGAATATTGCGTGTTCAGAAAAAAGATCGAAAATCGAAAAGCGCGATAATTAAAAAGACTTCGCGAAGACTCACCCATAGTTATGTCCAGATACAATTACTAGCGGAATGGATAACGCGCGAGGGTACACGACGGAGAACGTCGTCGACGTCGCCTGACGTCGACGACGACGACGGTGGCGATGGTGGCGACGGTCGTGTACGATGGTGGTGGTAGTGGTGTCAGCGGCGGCGGCGTCGGCGGCAACAAAGTTGACTTCTAGCCACGGCGTCAGCGCATCCCGGCTCCGAGACGCGATTGGGCTACCGGGCACGGCGCATCGATATCACCAGCCAATCGTTAGAGCTATACGACTCTTTAGATCGACCCCAGGCGGGGCTTCATATGCACTGTGACCGAAAGTTTTGCAACAACGAAAAACTAGCACGTTTGTATAAAAAAAATTACGTTATCACAACGTTAAGATAAAATTTATTTATCGAATAAAACGTGTGTCATCAGTAAGTCGGAATTTTATTGATTTATTTTGAGAGTGTCTCTGCTCTCTCTTTCTCTCTCTCTCTCTCTCTCTTTTCTCTCATCCTCCTGAGGGACCGCTAAAATAAGGCGATCAGAGGGTTGGATTTAGTTTCTGATGTGCGGAATCAAAACAAATTTTTATACATTGCGATGTATATCATGTATATTTTTCAAAGAACCAAGATATTGTTTAGTTTCAAAATTCGAGACGTAAGCCGATTATCGCACGAAAAAAAAATCATTAAATTAACCCTTATATAAAGGTATTTTTAACTTTAGTGTGTTTGTAATATCAACAATGAAGTTTTTTATTAATGAGATTTTTTATGAAAAAGCTTTTTAGTAAACAAAAGACATATGTTTATATGTAATTTTTTTACACAAATTAAATACATTTCATTTATTTAATTCTGTATATTTTTTCTATACGTGATATTATCGCAACAAACAAAGTTAGAATTGTGTGTACCTGCGTAAAATAAGAGTGCGGTGACAAGACGAATTATTTTTTTCAGGTCAATGATTTTATGACATCTTTTATTTCACTTAGTTTTATTCAATCAAATTCTATCAGAAAATAGAATAGCTATAAAAATTCCGAAATGCTTACATGCTACGCTAAAGAATTCTCCTTCGAACTCGACGACCGACTTGCATTGTTACAAACAGCGATTGGGGGTAGACACCCTTTTCCGGTGGTTGCCAGGAAATATCGATCTGCCCGGAGGGATGCTGCCTGTACTCAATGGTTTGTACGATACTTTATCTTCTCTTTGCCGACGGTACGTTCTAAATATGCAACACGAATTACTTACTACTGTTCTGCCATAATGTCTCTACGAAAATATAGCTTTATGATCTATAAAAAAAAAAAAAAAAAGGAATTAATTTTTCCTTCTTTACTGCGATCGAATATGTTACCGCTTGATTTCTGTTCTTCCGCATTTTTGAGCGTAGGAGTCAATAAATCACGAGACCGTAAAGCTTCGATTGAGCGGACGCTCCCTAAGACCTCACCGCTACCGGCAAATCCGCAAAATTTCGCTTTTTCGCACCTTTCTCCGCTTCGATTTCTGATAATTGACAGTGTCACATCCGAGGACTCGCTTGAAAACACGCAACCTTGTTTGCAGTAGTCGGAAGTTGAGAGAGAACACGAAGTTACACTGTAATTCTGTAAAATAAAAAAATAGAAAAATATATTGACTGATTTTTTTTGGAAAAACTGAATGATTTTTTCTCACATTTCCGAAAATATAAAACGTAACTTGCAGATCTCATGGAACCATAATATTTAATTTTTTTTTTCAAAAATTAAACTTCTGACTTTACATAAATATATCGTATATATATATTTTTCCTCTTTTCTTGATTTATTTATATTGGTTTTTTTTTATTTGTATTTCTTTTATTTCGAAAAGAGTGTACCTGTCTTCTGCGTTTTCCACGCGATTGTCTCATATATTCGGAAGATTCTTCGTTCTTCCACAAAGTTTTCCACATATTCGTCGTTTTGATTCGGTTACCGAACAATACTCTGTCCAGCTTCGTGTGAATCAAACGCTTTATTTTGCCGAGAGATCTGTCGACGGAATTGCGAAACTTGGTCAGCACAAATATCACTTGCGGTCGCGTGTCGTCAGCGTAATTATCATTTTGACACCTACAAGACGTCCTCCTGTGTTTCGTTGCTGCAAAAGAAGAATTCGCACGAAAAATATCACTCGACGAGGAGGTTGAGCGGCCGCGTTGACGAAACCTGAACGATTTTTGCAACCTGTGAGCAGTTTGCGATTTGTCTCGTTTGCGGCTTGTTGCGAATTCGCTCGCTGTCGAGTACGAAAACCGACGACACGACTGAGACGCCACGTACGTTGAATTGTTGTCCGCGTAAAAATCTTCCGTCGAAAAACCGTCGCTTAAATTCGCGTTCGAATAACATCCAAGTCTCTCCTTCAACGTGGGAAATCTCTTTTGTGATTGAACAAAATCTCGCGTTCCATCGCTGATATTAAAACCTATCTTATCGCAAATAGTTTGATTTTCTCTCTTTGTAACGTTCGAAAGAATGTCTCCGGTCGTGCAGCAACAAACGGCAGGATCTACTTTTTTATCGCATCTATCGTACGTCTTCACGACGGTAGAAATATTGTTTCTGTCATCGGATGCGAGACAAACCACGGATTGAGGACAACTTACGTCTACCGTGATTCCTTTCGACGATACTTTCAATTTTCTGGACGTTTGAATTGAAGTCGCTAACAAATTATTGTTGGACAACTTTGTCGTCATCCCGGAACAGTTTCCGGCATTTGTTGTCGCGTCGTCGTTACGAGACTCTCTTTTTTCAAAAACATCGTCGAAAATAATATCGGCGACTGTGATATTTAGAAAATTGTTAGCTAGACAAGACAAATCTGAGTCGCATTCAATTTCTACGTTTGTCGAATCAACGTCTTGCGGATCCGATTGTTGTTCATCGATTGCTTTGCTGTAGTTGTCCGAAAAGCAATTGCAATTTAATTCCACTAATTGCTTGTCGTTCTCGGAATGTTGTACAAACGACGCAATGCTGCTTGTAGCAGCAGCAAAATCTTCATTTTTCCGATTTAATTCCTCATCCGGTGAGCGGATCATCCAGTCGCGCTTATCGTCATCGTTTCTGATCTGCGGGGAATTGTCGAATTCCTCGTTGTCGGAGACACGGGCGTTATTTCTTTCCGACGTCAAGTTGCTTTTGCAAAACGTATTTTCTTTGGCAAGTGACGCGATCGAATTACTCGAGTCGTCAGGTGAATCTTCTTTCTCGACGGTGTTTTCGTCCAATTCGTTACTACGACACGAGACTGTGAGATCTTGCGTGCGTTCGGAATCGTTGTTCCGAACAATCACGCTCACAGTTACTTTCTCACTATTATTTTCCGTTTTACACTTCGACGTATTTACCATCACGTGAGATTTTACAAAAGCTTGACCCGAACAACAAGTGTCATTGGACACTTTACTGTTTTCGTTGATGCTCACAAGTGTGTTGCAAAAATTGTTATCGCCGTTTTTACATTCATTTTTACATTGTTCCGAACATCTCGTTTCGCTCGCTTTAACGCGTTTCGGATACGCGTCGCAATCACACGAAACAACAAAATTTCGCATCGCGCGTTTGTGTACATTTTGACAAATCGGCACTCTGGCAACGAACGGGCATTTGTCGGCAACTTTATCGATTTTTAATTTAAAGCTGATATATCCGGAACGTATATCGCAATAGAGGCGCGAACTCGTGTTCGTAAACTCGACGCTCAGTTTCTCAAGCACGTCGTTGAGACACGAGCAAAGATTGCGCACATCGGCTTGAAACTTTCGCTTTATCACTATCAGACAAGATTCGGAGAGCGACGGATCGGCTTCGAAAATTCGACCGATCAGGTCGCTCGGTTTGCAAGGTAAGCGTAAACGAGAAATTACGAGATTCGAAAGTGTTGAGCAACTGCAATCTTCCATGTGTAACTTGCGCATGACCAGTTTTAAACTCACTTTGTGACGCTGCTGTATCTTGTTCGACGTGATGTCGCAAGATGTTTTGCGCGAAATTTGTACTTTATCATCAACGTCGTCGTTACGCGACGACTCAGTTGCAAAGTGATTTGAATTTTGTCTCGATTCGTCAATCCGAACGGATGCTCGAACGGATTCCGACGACGTCGGTTGCTCGATCGTTTCTTTACGATCGTCATCGTTTTCCGTTGACGATTCGACGCGTCCAATCGGTTCTTTCGCGTCGCCGAGTGTCGTCGAATTCATACCAGAAGAGTTCGCTCCGATATCGGGACACCTGTCGAGTATAAAACTCGACAATTACAAATGTTCTCAAGTTAACGATAACATATGTGACTTTTTTCATACAAAACGTACGTAAACCAGTTGTGATCCGTTCGATTGTTTTCATTGTTGACAAAACCCGACACGTTTAAGCCTCTCGCGATATCGATTCCTATTGCATTCAATTCGCGGCAAATTTTGTCCAATCTGTGTCGCAAAATAATCGAATTCAGAAACGGACGGATCAAATCGTTCTTCACCGCGTGTTTCACGACTTCCCAACTGATCGCGTCGATATCACTATCGGTGGTTTCGTTTGGACAAGTTCCCCGCGTTCTTCCTATCGCTTTGACGAATTTCTTAAAACGCAAAAATTGCTCCTTCCAACCGGAATTCGTGCCGTACAGAAACTGTTCCAACAGTGAACGGAGTCTATGTTCCAGACTGGGTACGACGAACGCTCGAATTTTGTCGAGACAGAAATTGTAATTTTCCGAATCAATCGTTGTCGCATAACCGCATAAATTTGTCTGAAATAAACGATACCATTTTTTACACACGCGCGCATTACGATGTAAAAATACACACCGAGTATGTACATATGTATGAGAAATAGTTTAAGAGAGATAAGTGACTTTTATGCGTGTGTGCACGTGCCACAGAGTTTTCTTATTACCGACAATATCTGCCTGACTCTGGACAGCAAGTGGCTATTTTCCGTCATGACAAAGAAATAGTCAGTAAGATGAAAAAGAATTATATATAGCAAGTTCTCTCAGTTTCATTAAGTTACGAACTGAGATATCACTTTTTCGATCACGCGTGTTCTACATGTTTGACAACATATTCACAACCTAAAAATATACCGACATCATCCTTCGTGTGTGTGTGCGATATCTCTCTTCTGAACATAGACATAAATGAAATTTCCTCCTCTTTTCCACACGTTTTCTACGTTTACAAAAAAGAAAATATAACTGAGAGAGAGATAGACATATACACCCAATAATTACACGTCCTGCATATATGTATACAAAAAAACTGTTTGCACTTTTTCACATAAACCGCGGATCCAAAGATCGTACTTGTATGTGAATGATGCTGCAGCGCGCAAGCTAGGGAGAATGGCATCTTACCCTCTTGGCATCAGTCCGTAATGAGTTACGACGAAATACAAAAGCTTTTGGTTGGAGAGGGAGAGAAAGAGACATCGAGAGATCGTGAAGGAGATGGTGTACGTGCGACGAAGAGATCATTCGAAATTCTGCGGTACAGTACGAGATAACTGTAATCCATTCACGTACGACGGCCTCGCGAGGAAGATCAATACTTGTGACGCGGTGAGATAGAACGTAACAGCCCCACGCCGACTATGCACGCGGCGTATACGTGTATTACTTAACGTCAATTGACGAAAAAGAGCAATTTCGATATATATATATATATATATATATATGTTCACTTACAAATATATCTCCCTAATTTCTTCTTTGTTTTATTAATCCAGTTGTAAAATACAAAAACAGATAATAAAGTAACGCTTTTTTTTTTATCATTGAGATTATTACTTCTTAAAGAATGTATCAAATTTATACTATATTGAAGTTTTTCGAATGATATCGTGAGAAACAGTTTTCGCAAATCTTTTCTAAGTAAGTTTTTGCAGTGTATCAACGCAATAAACGCAATTCAAATTAGAACGAGAGCATAATTTAATTCTGAAAATTGAGTTACCGGTTTTAGTGCGCGACAATAACTAATGGACGCGTTTACACACAACCGTAACGACGGGGGGAAGAATCTTTTGATCTTCCATTTCTCTCGTATCTGTCCATCCCCTCCTCTCACGGTTACACTTCGCATTTTAACCCTCCTGTATAACCGATGCGCTTAATATAAGCGTCAAGCTTGACAAACAACGCCGTTATTTTAGTTTTTTTTTTTTTTTTGTGCAAAACCTTGTAAAAATGTAAATTTTTTTATTTTGCTCCATTTTATGTATAGCAGAGAAGGAAAACGTTGAGATATTATTTTTGTAAGTAACTTTAATAAAGTTGAGCGACATGTGTGTGCGTTTCTTCATTACTAAAAGTTTGTTCGTTACTTTGACACTTATGCTTTTGAATTACTTTTATAAAGGATGTTGAACGCAAGATTCGACGGCAGATCGGCAGCAGAAATCGAGCGGATCTGCGAATCAAATCTGCATTCGACAAATCTACTACGTTTTGATGTTGCGGACAAAATCTGTTTTCAACAGATTTGACTACATATATTAGAACATATGTATTATATATTAATCCTGAATTAAACCATTTTTTAAAATATTTTCTGAGATTTTAATTATTTGTTTCACCTTCACAGCGACAATTGTCGAAACAAATTTGATTCTTTTAATTTCTTTTGAATCATTTTTTCATTTTATATAAGTAAATCTTTACAATTGGTGCACACACACATTCACATACACACACATATGCACAAGTGCTTTCCTGTAGAATTGAAAAAAACATATATAGGTCATATTTATTATATTTATCAGTACTCTACATCTACTGGAAGACTCTTTCATTTTTCGAACCGCACATCAACGCACATTTGGTCATCGTAGAAATGTGACCTTTGGCATCGGGGCTCGATTTTACAAATGTGGGTGAGAATCGCTCGTAGGCGTCGAGGGGAAAACGGAAAGGGTGATGGTGGAAAATAGAGTGCAAATCAATACTCTGGTACTAGCGTGGACCGCTAATGGCGCTCGTCGTCGACGAAGAAGAGGAACGCGTGTTCGCGAACTGACGTAAACCGGTCGTCTTCTCGATATCTTCTCGAGAGTATCGTGTCGTCGATTTTATTAGTCGCGGTGAGTTTATCACGAAAAACCGAAGTTTGATACCGTACATCACTCTATAATTAGAAAAATTTTGAATACAAGAGATAATATTGCTCAATGTATATATAAATAATAATTAGACAATAATGTTCTTTAAAACAACAGAGTCGCAATATGTTACAACACAATAATGAGCATTAGAACGCGATTATATCATTAAAATCTCTTCGACATGTGTTGTGTCTCAAAAAAAAAGATAAGGGATCACAAAATGTAAATAATACAGGAGTTCTTGTGTTATTATTTTACAGGTGAAAACAGTACATCTGCTTACCGTACGCATCATGTTGTGCTACATATTAGTCGTCTCTATTGCCGTTGCTACACGGGCGAATGTTTATCTGCCGTCGATTAAGGTGATTGGAATACGCATAATATGAATAATTAGATTCCATGTGTATTCATTTTCATTAGTTTTGTAAAGCATGTATATATACAGGGTGTCCGACAATTACTTTAACATCTCTCGTAGGCAGATAGAAGGAGTAAAACTGAGTCGAGAAGTCTTGAACCATTTTTTTCTATTACATATAATAAAAGAATAATTATTAAAGTAATTGTCGGACACCCTGTATATATATATATATATATATATAATTTCAAAGAGCACATGTAATTCATAATTTTTTGTTCGATTGCGCTCAGGAAGAACATTTATTGACCGACACTCTGTTCCGAGAGTTAGTTAATCAGATGGGGAACGAACTTGCTAACGCGGATTCTTACTTGGAATATTCGGAAAAGGACAAAGAATTTCCGATAGAGTTGTCAGCCGACTACGACGGCATGGACACGCTTAATCCGAATCCGAGTATACGGGATCAGGAGTATCTCCAACACAGCACGCTGTGGGGAGGGAATCGTCAAAATATTGATAATAACAATAATAAGAATATAAACAAAGGCAATGACAAGCATAAGATTTATGTGAACGGAAACGCGAAGGGAAACAAGGATGAAAAAACGGATAATCCTTTGCCAGCTTATTGCACTCCTCCAAATCCGTGCCCGGTTGGATATACGAGTAAGCTAACGCAACATTTAAGTTAACAATAGCAATAGATAATAGTAATGATAATTGTTAAATCACATTTTATATATAAAAAAAACGACATGTGAAATTCGAGGATAATATTTTTAGTTGTATTTTTGCAGGTGAGAACAATTGTCTCACCGAGTTTGAAAACACGGCTGCGTTCAGTCGTGATTATCAAAGCGCGCAAGATTGCATGTGCGACACCGAACACATGTTATCGTGCTCCACCAATTCCGGAATCAGCAACAATTTGCCAAATACGCACGTTTCGAACTCCGATTTCGATCCGTTCGTCGACATGCAGGTATAATGAAATATATCATTTTTTTTTTTTTGCTGCAAAAAGAAGTTAATTCTGTAAATATATCCGAAATTACGAATTTATTTTATATCTCGTTTTACTTTTTAGGAAGAGAATCCATTCTTCCGAGGAGAGAAATTGCCAATAGCCGCAAAGAAGGGCATACATGTGATCGATTAAAGACTGCAAAAGGGAACATTTGAAAGATAAATAAAAATTAATCTACAGAGAATATATTATACTTCGCTAATTAAATTATAAAATTCTCCAGACCGATACCAATCGAAAATAGGTTTGTTTTACATGTTTAATAAAACAAAACACGCGTTTGCACAGTAAATTAAGACAGTAAGATTTTCCGAATCCGAAACTAAAAATGTGTGTAAATCAAGATTATCAGTGAATATTGAAAATCTCTTTAAATATCTATTTTACACACGGAGTCGCTAATAGAGATAATTGTTAGATACGTGTATATTTTAACAATATAAAATGTTTACACGACATTGTCCACACTTTGTGAGATAGCAACAATTTCTGTACACGTTTGTATTTTATTCTTTTAATCCTCAGAAAAGCAGCGATGCTATGTAAGATTTGTCAAAGTCTAAAAAAAAGTGTATCTTTTGCTTATACAACATTCTTTATATAAATTCCCTGTGATGATTGAGTACTCCATTACCACGTTACATATCTATGATATATATAATTTTTAGTAGTGATTAAGAAAACAAAATTATTATAAAGATGTTGACATCGATGTGTATACTTTAAATAATTCTATCAAAACTGTGTACTTACGCAACATATTTAATTGTTTTCAATTATATTTTATTTTGGTATAACATACGTATATTAATATTTATTTTGTCCTTACATGAGATCCAATATATACATATTTAAAACCTAATATATATATACATGTGTATATATAACGCGTTCATTTTCAATTGTAAAAAGTAATGCATTATACTGATTATTATTACATGATCCTTAATAATGTTATGTACATATATTTTACATAGTCTTATACAAATTTCGCTATTTCGATATCAAATTCTTTTTTTTATATACATGAATAAATTGTGATTCTTACATGCACACATAAGTAGTAAAAACCAAAAATTTGTGTTTGCATATATTAGAATATTTATATTTACATCTTTTTATTTATATATTGTACAAAATTTTCTGACATAATTAGTCTATAATACATGCATACACATTTGTGCAAACCATATAATATTATTGTTTTCGAAAGCTCTTTAATGCCGGATATATATTATTCAGTGCATCTTGCAGTTCAGTTCTATTTTTCGCTCCTGAAATATATCAAAAATAAATAATATTATGTTTCTAAAATTATTAAGTACAATTTCTATAGTGCCTGCCTATAAATACCTGTTAGTACAATTTTGCCATTTACAAATATCAATAACACAACTCTAGGTTTTACCATTCTGTAAGTCAAGCCTGGATACAATTCTGGTTCGTAACTTGTAAACTGACCATGCATATGATTCAGATTTTCTAGTTTAATTGGAAATTTTAAATCATATGTTGCAACTATATTTTGTATCTTAAAATTTGAAAATTTTACCTAAAAGAATATAAAAAACATTTCTCAGTTAAGATAAAAAAAGTGAGTTACAATTATTTCTTGTTGAGAATAAATGTTGTTTACAGGGAATCCAAGCTTGTAAATTATCCTGGCAAATTTTTTTGCTGCCAACAGTGAATCATCTTCACTTCTTGCGCCAGTACATACTACTTTGCCTGAGCGAAAAATTAATGCTGTTGCTCTAGGATTTTGTATTCTCATTATTAAACCAGTAAATCTAGCTGGATTGTATTCTGAATTTCGTGTTCTAACATTGATATACATGAGTTTCAATTCTGTTTGGAGATTAACTGTGGAAACCACATTTCTATAAAAAAATAACTTCAAGTTTGATACCAACAGTGAACGCAGAATTCCTATGCAATAAATTTGTAAAACAAAACCATAATTTTTTAAAGCAACCGAGGATTTTAAAACTCACTGTAGGGTAGGCTCTAACACTTCTGAGGTACTATTAATTGGTGCTATCGGACACATCGTTGATTGCGGATTGACATTTTGCGATGTGCTCGGTCTCGGTACACTGGTCTGTAAAAGCCGAAGTTTATTTTAAGCATCTAGAGAAAACATTTAATTTTTATGGTATAAGTACTTCTAAATATTTCAGTATTTTATAACACATACCGACAACGGCGGAGCCATGGATCCATCTTCGCTTGCATTTTTAGCAGGACTATTAAGTAATCTCTTTAATTCGTTACCTTCGTAAGAACTTTGCGTCATTTTATGCAAAATTAGTGATGAACAAACATCAACCAGCCCAATGTTGAATCGGCTCAGTGGCCATGTGCAAACATCACAAAAATTGAACTAAAGCCACATACACAGTTAATAGATGATTGGTTTGATGCTGTTGTAGCTCAGTGAACCCTTAAGCTGGTCCATACGCCATTCGGTGTCTATATTGGAATGACCCATAAAAAAATGTGTAATCACTATTCGGCCCCGTAAAAAAGCGCATATCCACGAGTGGTACACATTGGAACTACGCAGCCAGTCCATGTCGGTGCGCTATGTCCACAGCGTGCGGTTCTATTCTGTGCTATGTGCACGAGTTTAAATGGTCACTTTCTTTAAATGTGTGTGTATATATTAGAGAGCGTGAATTTGATTTTTTTTGAAATTTAAAATGACCGATCTCGTGATGAGAAGATGAGAAAGGAAAACAGAAAAGGATAAGAAAAACCATTGCAACTTTTCGTACAACATAAATGTGATATACTAGAAGAGATGTGATAGTCAAGAAAAGAATCTTATTTTAGCGAGCAGCATCAGAATTCGTAGAGTGTACTCAGGTACCATCTCCTTTATCATCATTTGCTGCTATTTGCTTTTATTTTTTTACAAACGCTACATATATACATATAGTTACATTACAAAGTAAAAAAAATAAAATAAGTACATTATTTAAAATTGGTTCGACGGCACACAAATATATGTGTGTCTGAAAAGTTGCATTTTCAAAAAATATATCTTTTACCGGTTTATTACAATTTATCAGAGTGTGTTACAATTTTTGAGTTTTACAATTTTACAAGTATTTTACATATATCTCGATACAATAAAGTAAATACATAATAAATACGAACCACACATGGCAATATTTCTAGCAAAATTACACTTATTGTATGCTATACTTCATCGCACACATTAAATTCTCGATATAAATTTCATTTACTTATGCTTTACAATTCGAATTCTTATTATTGAAGTCTTATATATAGTTTTTACATACAATAAATGTAACCTTATCTTACATAAACGAAACTTAATCTTACATTTACATGCATATGCAGTGATTCATATTAATCAGTGCATTTGCAATTTTCCTAATTTTTAAACCTGCTATATCCTACCCTAAACATCTATCTTAAACATTACTAGCCTTGTTAATCAGGATTAAGGCTGCATGGCACATGCCTTGATCCTAATCTTACATGTTNATTCCTACCTATATCCGCGGTCTAGTACATTTTCTACCTACTCGATTACAAAAATTTCCTACCTACCCGGTCTAACATATTTTCTACAAGCGTTTGTAGATCCCTACCTACATTGTTTTAGAAAGATTTAAAACCTATCAATATCGTAGATCCCTACCTACATATTTT